TTTTCATATGTAAAAAAAAAAAAAAAAAACAAAAGATAAAAACTTCATGAGGCTAAATAATATATATTCGATTAATACCAAATATTCTTAGTTCTTTTTTAAAAACATAAAACATCAATATCATCGAATATCTAATATCTATTATTATTAATTTTAAGTGATATAAAAGTTCAATGAGTTATAATCACGCGAAAATTATTTAAAATTATTTTTTAATTTTTGAAAATCAAGTTTTTTGGTTTACTGACTTATTGATTTATGACTTCAAATTCTAACATTATATGAAATATATTAAAATAATATTAAAATAATATTTGCATATTATCAAATAATGTCAAATTTACAACACTTATATACGACTAGATATATAATTTATACTATATGATTTGTGCTATATATGTACTATATGATATAAATTAATTAACCTAAATAAAGTAAGGATATAAGTGAAACAAACATTCATCAAGATGAAACATTGAAACATTGTAAAATTATTCTTGAAAAACACGTACAATATATGTAATATGTGCATTGATTACGTAGTAAATAGGTGCATGCAATAAAAAGATAACAAAGTTCAACTTATGTTTTTACAAATTATTCATTTACATTAATTTAAGATAAATCATAATTATAATTTGTCCATCTTTAATAATAGATTCAATCTTTAATAATTTTTCAGTTTCAGTCATATATTGAAAGATTTCGTTAATTCGATATATGTAACACCGTGATAAAAAAACAATTGATATCAGGTGTGTGTAATCATCATTTTAGATACACATTATGAAGATAAAGTTATCGAAACATTGTTAAACACATATAGAAATAATGTTTCTTGCTTAAAATTATAAGAATTAAATTTAAATTTCGAATATTAGATTTAGGTTAGGTTGTTCTACATTAGACTTTATATTTCTATAAAAAAATGATCAAAGTGACAAAAATAATTTTTTATTAACAATATTGCTTATAAAATAAAATTATTAATGAAAACGATTACTACGACATTTTCAAGGAAAATTTCATTCACGTTCGAATAGCTTGTGACTATATTCGATGTACCATCTGTATCCTCGTACAAGTATAATAAACATACTAAAACTATCCACTCAACGAGTTACGAAAATAACAGCGTGAACAGAAGCAGAAATTTTCACTAACGAATTATTTTCGTATCACTTTTGTATTTTACTAATATATTAAAATATTACAATAAATGTTACATTTTCATCAAATAAAAAAATGTTTATGCTTTAAATCGATAAAATATTGCTTACTCAAAATTTATCATTTTAACCTATACATATTTATAAAAGCGGTCGACACTATTAAGCAATCGTACATATTCAATTTCATAAAATTCAGAGTATTATACGCTTATGACAATACTTATTCATTATGGTTTATTTGAAATTACGTATCGAGGTCACTGATTCGCGTGACTAAGGTATCCAAGAATGCACAAGATCTCCCGTGGCTGGTTAGAGCGCTCTAGAACGCTGAAGATCAAGAGAGCAAAGAGTCGGTTTAAACCGTGTGCCCCGTCCTAACGTCGACTCTATTAATACCCGCGCCTTGTCGTCGCGTCTCGAGAACGTGTGCACAGATATAGAAGCATTAATACGACTGTCCTTTTTATTAAAAAAATCTTCTGTTCTTAGCATCGACAAATCGAACAATCACTTTTGTGTTGATCTCGATACGAGTAATACACGAGAGAAAATAAATCGAATACTAGAAAATAATCGAAACAATTTTAAAGCTTTAAAAATCGAGGTATCGAAGTCTATTTCAAGATTGTTATTCTACAAAAATAGAAACGTTGAGAGTCTATCGTTACGATAAATTAAATCAATTCAAAAAGTTTGTACAAAAATATATATTTAATCGTGTATATTCCCTTCGCGAATTTCATTATTTTACGATAAAATTGCGAATGAAACGACATGATCTTCGATATCAACTCGAATGCGAAAAACGAAAGAAAGGAGTTGCAGCTTTAACAGGACATGTCGTAGATGTCGTACAAGTGCATTCGCAGTCAATTATGTGATCAGCTACGACCATTCGCTTCATGAAGCTATTAGGAACAAGTTAATAGAATCATCGCACCGTTCCAGTGTACGATGGGTTATGGTAAACAGAAAGAGGAAAAGGTACAAACTGTTGCGATTCTAACTTAGCCTACAGATGTCGTACGAGGTCTTAAGCTCGATCGAGTCAGTGCAAATACCTAATCGACAATGTCATTTCACCCTTGTGAAAAGTTCTTTCGCCGATTCGAATCGATAATTCATCAAGAGATTGCTGTCAAACTACAACTATATTTAGCGATTTGTTGAACAAGTCTTAAATTAGAAACGCAACGATACCGAGCAAAAAAAAGAAGCGTAAAGGTTGTTTCCCGGGGATGGGTACACCCTAACCATAAATTCTATTTTCTTCATATTCACTCACCTTTGACGATAAAGAGTTAAAAGACGATTAAAGTCTCGTGAGATTAAAAATATCAGCAGCAGGAGATCAATCGGGCGACCACGATCCAAGAAGGAAGGTAAGGTTAAAATACACCTTGGCAAGTTTTCACTTGTTCCTTTTTTCCCACAATCACCGTACGTACGTTACATACACCCTTATTTCATTCGTTCCCCGAAATAAGAAGTTTCGAGCGAGAACACCGGAGAAAAAAAAGCGTACGCGAGGAACGTACCAAGTGTGGTATCGAGCAAGCTATTGGGCTCACTCTGCGAGGGGCACGGCACGTGTTGGGGCTCCCTCGACCGAGTCGCGACTGATATCATTTCCAGCGGGGGACTGTGGGGTCGGCAGCCAGAACCCCACCAGGGGGTCTTCGTGCAACCCCCACGCGGTGTCGTAGTAGTCGTGTTCGCCGTCGTGGTTGTAGCTCGTTGTCGTGGCTCCACCGTTGCTAGCCTCTCGAAACCCCCTTTGCACGTACAGGGAATAAGGGACCAGGATGTATACGTACATCATGGGGAGAGTGACTCTCTCTCTTTCTTCTCTCGTATCGCGATCCTTCCATCGTTCTCGCTCGCACTCTCTCGCTCTTGCACTCCCACGTACCTTTCTCACCTCTGTCTCGTTTCTACGCGCACTTTTATCGTCTACCTCGCTCCTCGCGTACTTCTCTCTCTTTGTCCGTATCTCCATCCTCGTTCCGCGCAACGCGTCAACTCGAAGCGTTTGTTTCTCTTTCGCCGTTCTACTAGCTTCACTTCGGTTCAGTGTAAAACACGCGCAACACCAACACGACTGTACATTCTTCCTCCCCCGCCCGTGGCCCCCTCCCCTCGCGCGAATCCCTTACCCCCTACGTATCCAGCAGCTTTATCCACCCTGAACCCTCCTATGTACGAGGGTTGCTTCTCGGCAGGCCTGATCGGACGTTCGCGAGAAGGGACTTTCCCCTCTGCCTCTCTACACACCGCCCTAACCATGCTTTTTTTTTCGTATTTCAGATTCGAGCTTGTTTCGCTCCCGAGAAAAATTTTATCCCACATGTTACATTTCACGACCTCTTCAGCATTTCAACGAATGTTGTAAAATATCGTATTATCGTAAATACAAATCATAGTATTATTTTTTAAAAACGATCGAATGATTATTCAGCAATTATTTTGGCTTATATCCAAAACTGATTATATTTTATTTATTTTTATTCATATTCCTTCTTTTTTTTTTTATTTTTTTCACTTCTCAATTTGCAATGAAGGATTTAAAATGTTTTTAGTTGTTTGCCAAATATTACGATATGCTATCGTAAAGAAATTCGGCTTTAAATTGGAGGAAAAGCCAATTTTCGAATGGATGGCAAAGAAGATTTTTGGTATACGAGTATCAAATTCTCAACAAAGTCCTCGAGGGCAATATTATCGATGCATTATTCGATTCAAAAAGTAAACTCGTATAAAAGACCTTGGAACATATAACTGCTCGTTAAAGAATATCGCAATACGATGAACACTGACTGCAATGGGCACTGACGTAATCATCACATTTATGTAGACGCTCATATTTGATGCGAACCTACATACGTATGCGTAAATCATAATAGTCGTATTCAATTCTTATATCTAGATTCGTGTGTCAATTTAATTTTAAAAAAAAAATCTCTTTCATCAAATTTGAAATCCTGAATGATATAATTGAAATTAAACGAGAGAAACTTGAATTTTATCGCCAAGTAGCGAAGAAATATTTTTACATTTATATTTTAAATTAAACATGGAATTAAATTGATACGGAAAAATAAATAAAACAATACCTTATTACAATATATAATTGATTGTTCACGCTCGAGATGACCGGGCGACCAATTCGGGGGCAGCGAGCGAATATCGATTCGTTATTTTTAGGGGTAGTCTATCCATGAACCCCACCTTCGTCGCGCCCCCGTTCAAAAATTTGTCTTTAATGAATTATTATTATGAATATATTTATAAATTTAGTTTGTTCTGCAAAATTAAAGAAATAAGTAAGTAAAATAAAAAAAATAAAATGTAATGAGACATAGAAAGTAAGAACAATTTTATAATAGTTATAATATTTTGTTATTAAAAAATATTTTACATACGAAAAAAAAATCCAATTTATATCGAAATAATAAAAGTTATGGTCATTTAAAAAAATTGAAATAACATATATATATATATATATATATATATGTATATATGTTATCTATAAATTATGTTAATTTATTATAGTTAATTTAAATAATATTAAATATGTATTTATCTATAAATACATATCTAAAAATAGATTAAATAAAAATTTGTTTAATTAGTTTTCAAATATTTATTGCACAGCTGATTAAATTTCTTTAAATAAACAATTCTTAAAAAATATAAGTACATTGATAATTTTTATTTAAAATTTATATTTTATCATTATTTTAGTCAATATATAAAATTTAATATCAAAAATAATAAAAAATGTTATTATAATTACACATGATAATTATGATAAGATATTTTCATAATATTTATTAATTCGTTAAATATGTTAAAATTAATATTAATTTTGTAATCTTAAAATAATATCACTTAATTATCTTCATTTGAATTAATAATATTAATTAACAATTAATTTGACAATAAATTATATTATCATAACATTTAAAATTATTTACAAAAGTAAAAATACAAAATATTCTTTTCCTTAAATTAAGATTTAAGCATAACTGGTTAAGCTTTGCTTTTAACATTAATAATTATTTGTCAAGACCATGTGTACAAATTATTTGAAAATTTAATATTTTCTATAATTTGAACATAAGCTGGATCAGGACTACAAAAATGTTTTAATAATTCACTATTAAATCCACAATCGCTCAAATTTTCTTTGCCAAAAACATATTCTGGAATTGGTACATTTTTGGATTCCGTTTGTTCTGTAAAAAAAAAAATTGTTAGTTCCTTATATAATATTTGTATTACAAAAAATAATCATAATTTAAAAGAAAAAAAAAATAATATATATATATATATATATACCAAATTTCTGTTTCATTGCTGAAAATGAAGTTGTCGAACCTAACTGTGCACAACTGGCAGAATATTGTTCTAGCTGGCTAGATTTCATTAAAAAACAAAGAGAAGGCAACACATGAGGCAAAAGTGGCCCTTTTAATTCCAAAGAGTAATATCTTTCTTTATCAACACGAACTGTACTTTCTTTAACCTTTAAAAAATGAAAATAATTTTTAATTCATATTATATTATTATAAATATTTATATTATTTATTATTATTTTTATAAATATAAATATTAAAGTATGATACCTTTATTGGTTTTAAAGTTGCACCATGAAAAGCTACGGGTGAGAGGAGAGTTGGAGGTACACCTGCTAAAGGACCACTTGTTGTAATAGCAGATTTACAATTAATTAAAAAATTAAATAAAGCTTGTGCATCAACACCTTTTACAAAAATAAGAGATTGTTTCATATTATCTATTTCAGTTTGTTTTTCTAATGTTATTCTTGCCTACAATAAAATTAGATATTTATAAATAGTGTGTTAAAACACACTAAATATTATATGTATTTGAAAATTACCTGAGAATTATTAATTTTACGAATTTCAGAATTTTCAACTCCTAGACTTTCTAACCATTCATCTTGTGTTTGATCTTCTTCATCATCAGGATTTTCATTCTCAATAAAGTTTGATGTATTTGATAATGTTGAATCCACAGTATCACATCCTGAATCAATTGTATCTGATCGTCGTTTAGAATCTTTTTTCAAAGGCATTGTATATTCAATTTCTATAAAAAGATGATAAAATAATATAAAATCTTTACAATACATTATATATAT